TTTCTTGTGATCCCATTGGATTGTCTGTCACCTTCTTCCTTCCTTGCCCTTTCCATTGAGCCTGAATGTCAGTCTCCAATAGGTTGATTAAAGGATTCTGTGCACCTCGTGTATGTGCATTTGCCTCCTTTCTATGGCTCGCTGGCATCTCCCTCTTCCGTGTTGTCCAAAGTGTGTACTGTCTCAGCAGATCATATTATTAGGTCCTCCTTTTGTTCTTTTTTTGCATGTTTGTATTATACGAGCGTGCATTGTTGTTTGTTCGCAAAATTTTCGACGACATTGGTTGTGGTGATGCGGCGAAACCCCCCGCAAGTTCCGACTTCCATCAACCATCTCTCCCTTTTGCACCCTTGCCAGTTGGGTTTGGCGTGCGTGTCTATTCGCAACAGAAAGGTCGCCGTATCCTCCGGCGGAGGGTGACATCCGTGACTTTTGCCCAAACTTCTTTACAGTTCTTTTGCAATCCGCCATATTTGCTCGGCGTTGATGCAGTCCAACAAACAGTGTTTTTTACTGACTCCCTCTGTTCCTCCTGGCATGCCACACACATTTCATTCTGGAATCTGGGGGGATTTCTGTTTTCCTGATTCCTTCTTTTGCTTAAAAGTTTTTAGCTGCTCATTGATCGGCAGTGCAGAATGAATGATTAACCACTGCATGCTTTTCACCATCCCGAGCCGGAAGCTAACGATCCATCCATTAAAATTGGAATGATACAGAGAGAGAAGATTAGCATGGGCCCTGTGCAAGGATGACACGTCGTAAATCAAGAAATTGTCCAATTTCTTTTTAGAGAGAGAGAGAGACGGAAAAAAAAAAAAACAATTTACTGAGTGATTAGCACTGATTAGTAAGTTTTCCATACTCTTTTGGACTTATGTGTCCCATTTTGGTGGCTGCAGTTGTTGTTGCAAGGAAGCCTTAGGAAAATGAGCGAAAGCGATAGGCAGAAAACCGAATTTCAACATCACATTGACGACCAGATCGTCGTGTCCCAAGCAGAAAGGAATAAGCACTGAGTTACAAGCCATGTCCCCAAGCCCCGTCTGGTCCCAAGCCAAATAAGAGCAACGCAATGAACCCGAATGTCAATGACAGCCCCTTCTTGCCACCACCAACAATGTATCCAATGTCGCACTTCTTCTCTGGCGCTCAGCACCCAGCCTATCCTACTCAGCACCTATACTAGCCTACAGATACTACATGCAACCAGGAATCACTTCCAGCCGAAGACCAATGTCCGTGATGAAGTCACCTATGCAGACTGCCGCATACATCAGGTACGTCTCTCTCTCTCTCTCTCTCTCTCTCTCTCTCTCTCTCTCTCTCTCTCTCTCTCTCTCTCTCTCTCTCTCTCT